ATGTTACAATTATCTACACGTTGTATTTATCCGGTTATTCCTATGACTGGTTGTGAAAGAAAGATTTTCTAACTATTTACAACATATGATATGAAATGATATAAGAATTAATGCTCAAATGCTGATATTATTATATGTTTTAATGGTTTGGTTAGACAAATCAACTCGTCGTATTTTTAGAATATAAACGGATGTTTGTAATATAAAATATCATACTCAAAGTAGCATAAATATGTCCTAAAAATGTGAAATTTAGGACATTTGGATTTCAGATTTTTAACGTGAAAATCCAAATATCAACTAGTTGAAAGCCTGAAATCCAAATGTCCTAAATTTTTGTTACATTTCAAAGTTTCAAAAAACGTACATATGTAGCTTGTATCCATAAATATGACTAATCATCAAGTCCGAGAAAAAATTCCTCTTATGCAACATTCCAATTTTTCAGATTATAATTAGCACAGTGAAATCCTGGACTTGCTATTCAAAGAGAGACATTCTACACAAGAAATTTATTGTTGCCACATTCCCAGTGCAAATTAACGATCTGATCTCAGCTCGGGTCGATCGCTAACTAAAACGAGCTTGAGACTAGCTCGTTTATCAAACGAACAAAACTCACGAACGGCTCGTTTTGTTTAACAGCTTTGCGCATGCGCGAATACTTCATAATAAATTCGTTTTTCATCATTGATTTAGAATATAAATATATATATATATTATATATATAGCAAAATAGTTACTAAAAGTTTCAGTCCTTTGACAGTGGAAAATGAGCGGGTGAGACGTTGACTCATGCTGAGTGGGAGTACTTAGGTACTAGGTAGCGTTAGCACTCACCTGCACCATAATTGCACGATAGCAATACACAAATTTCCTTACTACACAATCTGATAGCAATACACAAATTTCCTTACTACACAATCTAACAGTTAGACGAGTCGACTTGACTTACTTTTGAAATCAAAATGTATAAATTCATACTTTAAGATGTTGTATGTTATATGTGTTGTATTTTTTATAGTACAACATTTTAATATGAAATTGTGTATAGATATGGAAGAATTAAATAATTTAAGTGATTAATTAATTTGTTGAAATAAAGAGATTATTGTGGCCGAAGGCGTCACCAAATTGTCGTACTTTTTGCTTGTTGTTGAGCCTTAACATAGACGGGTCGATCATTGTTTGCCACAGAACATGCATTTGTCACTTAAGGAACATAAGTGGAAAACAAAAATAAAAGAGGAAGTAACACATTTTTTATGTAGGCATTAATTTTCAATGTAGGCATAAATTAGGACATAAGTTTATGGGCTACTTAACCTCCATCCAAGAAATCTTCATTTCAGTGATTTTTTTTTTTTTTTAACAAGTCTTTTGTTAATATGCATAATGGTCAAATAGCATAATTTTCCAACAAATATACATACTTTTTTATATTTATGTTTCATACGTATACGCATTTATATTATAAATGTTAATTTTTCGTAACAATATAATTTATGTTTTTTACATAAACTTGAGGGTTTTTCACTTTGCAGTCTCAAATTAGTGTAACAAAATATCAAATTGAGATTGCAAACATTTTCTCTAATAACTATTAATTCCTGCCCGTTGTTGCTGATTTGAAGTTGTCATACATGCTTCTTAATTCTGCCTTGGGAAGAAAATAAATATGTGGGGTTGAAATATTTTTTTCACATAAATGCAAAATCTTGATTTTCGAAAAATAAAACATTATAGAAAACAAGGTAGTTGGTGATGCTTATAGCATCACATAATATCTATCTACGCTGTTATAAATATAAAGTGTCACGAATTCCGTTGATAAATTTTACGTCACGAAATAAATAAATTGTCTCTCTCGGGTGCAAAAAGAAAGGAACAGAATTCACTGGCTTTACATTGATATTGAAATGAGAGACTGAAAAGTAAACAACCCACATAATAAAATAACAATCAAGAATTGATTCAAGGGAAAAAGCAGCTACAAGCTGGTACATTTTCAGTTGTCTATGCTTATATTAATTAGTATAAATGTTGCTAGACATATGTCAAATTTCAAGATTAAGTACTGATTGCAGTTAGTGGTTAATGAGCTGTAGCTACCCTTGAATTGAGGCCGAAATTCAAGGCGAATGTTACATAAGTCTAACGGTCAGGTAGGTATATGTGGTTTAACCGGGGTCGACCCATCATACATTTTAATTTGTAACAAATATGTATACTATACTGTGAATGTCATACTTTTGTCCATCCAATTCTTTAGAGTATGAAATTTCAGTTTAAATGTACACATATTATATTAAGTCTGCATAACCATACTCTTACTATTGTAATAAAATATGCATAATTTCAAACATATATTTTAAAAAATAATATAAATAAATATGATAATTTATAATATAAGCACACAATATTATTAGAATTGAGAATTTTTTGATTAATGGGATTTTTCTACATTTAAATAAAACCCATAAATTTATTCTTTTGAGGCAATGGACACGTGGAAATGTTTTGTGCAAGTATGGTGAGAGAATGCAGTGATATGGTGTGGCGCATTTGCGGGAGACATATATTACTGCGTTTTCCCACTCACTAAGTTACTTATTATTTTCTTAATCTCAACCATAATTATGATTAGTTCACTGCTGATCTTTGTAATCTAAACATAGGAGGGCCTAATTTATCAAGAAACTGAAGAAAATTCAATCAAATTTGTGACACACACAGCCACTAGTGACTTTTGGGAGCCAATCAAATAGAAAAGATTGTTCTGTTGAGATTATGTGTTGTATTTATGATTAAAAAATTATATTAGAAGAAAAAAACTCTCAAATTTTATATTTCTATTCGAAATTACTTTGATAGAGTGATAGATATTTTGGAGAAATTATATTTGACTCTGTTTGGTAATCAGCATCTTAAAATAACTTAAGAGTATGTTAAATTAGCTTAAAAATTTATTAGAAAAGTACTTAGCTTTTCACATATATAAACCAATTGAAATTTTTATTTTAGCTTCTATGTCAATTAATTTAAACCAGATATTTTAATATCATCTAGTCTTTTATTCTAAAGTCATCACTCAAAATCAACTTATTATTAGTTAAATTTCTTGCTATCAGTTAAATTTCTTGCTATCGACTAGTTTTTAAACTAATTTACTAAGAAAATATTTTGTGGTCCTTGGAACTCTTTTTTATTGTTAGGATTATTTCTCGAGTTTTAGGTATGTTTGGCAGATCTAAATGAAAAGATAGGATAAATATGTTGAGTGATAGTTGATAAGTTAATTTTGAGTTGATGACCGATACCTGAAAAATCAACTAATATAATACAACGGTTACGTAAAATTTTATATCCAGAGGCATCTAAGATAAGCTCCAACTTTAAAAAAAAATCATCGTCATATCAAATGAGATGTATAGAAATACAAATAGTTTATGAACTAACTAGACAGATGATAATAAACTCGTTTATAATGCTTTCCAAACACATAAATTTAAATAAAAACGTACAACATGATTGAATTTGTCCCCTATTAGGCCAATTTACTGTGAATTAGTTCCCATATATATCTAATTTTGTCTCTCATTAAAATCCACTTATTAAATTCCAAATCACAAAGTCGTGAAATTTAGGAATTGAATTATTGCATAGCTAAGAATGCCATTTTAGAAGGACACAAGTAAAGTCCTCTGTCACAATTCAATTGAGGTTATTCCAAGACCCTACCATTGTATTATTTAGTGAAAAAGACCAAAAAAATTGTCCCATCTTAACTTTCATGAAATAAATTTTGCCCCACGAAGAAACACTATATCAAGTCGAGCCCCACTTGAAGATGTCTCAACTTTTTCATTTATTTATTAATAAAGTTGACATACTACCAAGAAAAATTTAATTCTGATTGCTGTCTGACCTATTTTCTTTGTAATAACTTATATTATGTTTTTTAATAAATGTTTATTTGGACCTGAACGGTTGGGCCATGGTTTGGGCTGAGATGAAATTGTGGGCCAAGGTTTGGGCTGAAATGAAATTGTAGAACTAATAAATTATGGTTCTCTTGAGCCATTCAAATTAAATGGGCTCACAGCCCTCTTGAAAACCAGCTGGCCCGAGTAGTATATCTTTTTGTTAGTAAACAAAAAACACTTGTTTTTAGTTAGACAAAAACAAGTTGATAGCGAGTATTAAATTAGAAAATGCTACATTGTCAATCTAGTGTACAATTAAGTTGACAACACAAGTGGAAAATATCCACTTGTGTATTTTTTTATTTTTATTTGTGTAGATGTTTTTTCCACTTGTGTTGTCAACCTAGTCGTACACTATGTTGTCTATATATTATTTTTCATTAAATTAACTGATAGTTGGTAAATCTAACTGAAAACTAGCTGGTTTGTAGGTAATTAAGTGATATTTTATAAGTTAATTTTGAGCATTTTCGGTAAATCAAAACTTCAATAAGTGATATTTTATAGGTCAATTTTGAGCATATTTGGTAAATCAAAACTGAAAATCTAGCTGAAAACCGATAAATTAGATAATACTATTCGGTGGTAGCGGGTAATTGACTGATAATTTATGAGTTAATTTCCAGCATCTTTGGTAAATCAAAACGAAAAATCTAGCTTACAATTGATAAATAAATTCATAGTTTATAAGTATAGCTTATAACTTATGATAAATATAACTGAAAAGCTAATAGCTTGTTGGTAATTCACCGATAGTTTACAAATTAATTTCGAACATGTTTAGTAAATCAAAACTAAAAGGCTAGCCGATAGCTGGTAAATTAATTGATGGTAATCGATAACCAACTGACAGGTCAATTAATTTCGAATTTGTTTTTGATAAATTCAACTAAAGAGAATTAGTAAACTAATTGATATTTTACAGGTTAATTAATTTGATAGCTTATGTCTAATTATGGTTGAAAATCTACTGATAAATAAAAAAAGTTGGATAAAATTAGCAAATAAGTAAAGTCAAATGGGCAGCATCAGCCCAGGCATCGACCGGACGTCATCATGGTGGCTCCGCCACAGAGTAGCGGCTCCGGCGCCGGAGGAGCAACGCAGCGGCCTCAGGTCCTTCACCGTCAGCCACGTGTTGAAATACTCCCTTAGCTGCGTGATCCGGCCGCCCTCGACGGTCCACACGTGCACCCAATACACCTGATCGCCCTTCCAACCCTCCGCCACCACGCACCCACCGCCGCCGCCCACGGCGGCGACTCCCCGCGGCTCGAACCTGAAATCTGACGGCGGGGTTTCCCCGGTGAGCACCTTCATCATGTGGTGGCTGTTGGGCGGGCCGTGAAACCACCACTCGAGGTCACCGGAGACAAGGCTCAATATTTCCGGGTTCCCGCCGTCCGACAAGGCCGTGTAGAGGCGGCGTACGGCGGCGGCGTTTTGGTTATCCGGCGATGGATTTGCATTTTGGGCCTCCATTTTGCTGAGGTGGATTTCTTTTGCATGCAGCTGTTTTTACTGCATCCGTCAAACTAACTAAAACGGTCTTTATAGGACCACCAGCTTTTTGTCGGTGGGACCCGCTAAAGTTAATCTTAAAAAACGACATAAATTATTTAATATTTTGGGCATTTTAGATTATAGAGTTGGACAATTATTATTTATTTATCTAGATTTGTATAAAAGGAATAAATAAGCCATGCTGCATTTATTGATAAATAAAGGATACCAAAAATTGAGCGTGCAAATGCAATGAACTTGAATCGAAAATTGAAGCTGTTCGTTGGATATGAATTATGATCCCGTAAGGAAAAATAATAATTTTTATTTTTAAGGCTGATTGGATATGAAAAGGTAACTTTTATTTTTGTCTGATCAGTCAAGAGAGGTATTTCTTTTGTGGGTTTGATTAGAAGTGTTAAACAAATCGAGCCCTTGGTGGGCTCGTCCCGTTTAGTTAGAGCTTGTTTAGTTAGGGAGGGTCATTAGACTCAAGAAAAATATGATTTTCTTTATTTAATCTCAGCTTATTAAAGTTAAAGTTTGGCTCGTTAATTTTTGTTCGATTAGAAATCAAGTCAAACTCGACTCGACCTGACTTAAATATTTTTGTTCAAACTCTAGTTTCAGGTACTTGAATTTGGTTCAACTCATCTATAGCAATAGTGTAGCCCGTCCAAACCAAACCAAACCACTCAGGACCGTTGTGTGAAAAGACTATAGTAAACGTCCAAAACTCCAAGCCCGTTTAGGGTCAAATTGGGCTTCGGGGTCTACTCATAATCTGTTTCCTTGGCCCATCGTAGAAACCCTTTTGCAAAACCTTCTCTGCTCTTTCTTTTCACCATTCTTCTCAAGTGTGTGTGCTCGCTGTCATTCATACAACTTTTGAAACCTAAAAATGGTTCGGAGCTTGAAGAATCCAAAGAAGGCGAAACGAAAGAGCAAGGTAAACGATTTCTGATGTTTTGTTTGCCCTAATTGTCCTAATTTTGTTAGTTTAAGCAGGGACTATTTTTTTTTTATTGTTGTTGTTCAATTAAAAATGGCAATTAGCAGGCCTCGAAGAAAGGCGAAGGGACTTCGTCGAATTCGGGGCCCACGGTGGAAGCAAAGGTGTGGCAACCAGGTGTTGACAAGTTGGAGGAAGGAGAGGAGCTTCAGTGTGATCCTTCTGCTTACAATTCCCTTCATGCTTTTCATATTGGGTGGCCTTGCTTGAGGTCGTTTTTCTAATTTAGTCTCTTTTCTTGCTATGTAGTTTATTTTGCGCGGTTGTCTTGGTTTGTGTTGATACCAGTATTTTGGTGGACTGATTGGAGAGCTGAGAAAGATATGATTTTTATTGCTGCTTCTTGGTGTTTTGGTTCTTAAGATGATTTCAGTTTGTGTTGATCATTTTGGGTTTCTGCAAATTCGATGTATAGAATGCTTGATGCAGCAGTTTTTGGCTTTGTTATGCAGTGTTGTGTGCTTATAGGGTAAATGAGTTCAACAGTGTTGTTATTAATGCCATTATTTTGGGTGTCTGGTTGGAGAGCTGGAAAAGATGTGATTTTTATTGATGTTTCTTGCGTTTTGGCCCTTAAGATGAATTCAATTGTGTTAACCGATTTGGGTTTTGGCTATTTTGATGAATAGAATGCTTGATGCAACAGTTGGCTACGTTATGCAGCATTGTGAATAAAGGGAAAGTGAGTTCGACAGTATTGTTATTGAATGTTTTGTGCACAGAAGCTATTTTATATATCCATGATGGCGCCTGTATGTGTTGCCTAACATGTCATCAATGAAAGTGGTCTCAATATTAATGATTTAATTGCTATTTTTCAAATTGTGATGGTTGTGAATGATGACCTGATCATTTTCATTGGTTCTGTGGGCAGCTTCGATATATTGCGAGATTCCTTAGGGTTGGTCCGCACTGAGTTTCCACATACAGTGTATTGTGTTGCGGGAACACAGGTGAGTCTCAGGTCAATCACTTAAACTGCATGAATATGAATATGTTCCAAAGGGCCACTAGCCATGGTTTTTGAAATTTTATGTTTTATCTGGAATGATTATTATATTGATCAATTTACTGTTTCCTATTTTCTCAGGCAGAGAAGTCTACCTACAATTATATTGGAATATTCAAGTTACAAAATATTTCTGGGAAGAGACGTGAATTAGTGCCCAACAAGATTGAAAAAGATGGTTCTGATATGGACAGTGACAGTAGTGACAGTGATGAGGATGATGGGGAGGATGGTGGTGGATCGGGCTCCCCAATTTTGCAGGTAAGCTTGTAAAAATAGATTTTATTTGAATTTTTGTTCAAAAATTTTATGAATTGGGTTTGATTCTTTCAGCATCTTCTGTTAATGTATCTGCAGTTACGCAAGGTACCTCATGTAGGAGGCATTAACCGCATTCGTGCCATGCGCCAAAATCCTCACATTTGTGCCTCTTGGGCAGATACAGGCCATATTCAAGTGAGTTTAAAATTTACTGTATATATTGGAAACCAAAAATTATTAATTGTAATTTCTTTAAGTATTCATTCATTTTTTTTTTACTACATGATTTCCTAAAGTTCAAGGACTCTAAAGTTCATTCTTTTAAATGATGAATATTTTGTGTAGCTCTCGTGTCTATTACCATGTCAAGTGAAAGCAATCTGTTTGTATACAACGTGAAAATATTATATATTCTCATGGCTGAACCGTTTCCTTCCAAATTCTCAATTGATGGCTTTTGCAGATGTGGGACTTCAGCTCTCATTTGAAGGCTTTGATAGAATCAGAAACTGAATCTATCCGTGGCGGGCCCACTGATTACAATCAAGCTCCTTTAGTCAAATTTACTGGACACAAGGATGAAGGTTATGCCATGGACTGGAGTCCTCTCGTTGCTGGAAGATTCGTGTCGGGTATGAGCTACCTTGAAGCCTTTCATTTTAGTGCTTGAAAGCTTCTACTTCAAATCACATCTCGATTTATGTTGATGGATTTTGTTGTGTTCGTGCAGGGGATTGCAAGAATAATATTCATCTGTGGGAACCTGCATCTGATGCTACATGGAATATTGATGTTAATCCCTTTGTTGGTCATACTGCAAGTGTAGAAGATTTACAGGTGTACATCATATTCGTGGTCCTTGTTTTTGAAATAATTAATGAAAATTTACCCCCCGAGTTTTGTTGTAACTGCATGAAACCCTGAAGAAGTTCCAAAATAAACCAAAGGAAAAGAGGTCTGAATATTATGCTTGAACATAAACGGGCGGTTTTGATAATTTATCCGGTTATGAAAGGAAAACTAATGAGGGAATTGGAGCTCGAATTTGTAATTCCAAAACTTACCTGGGTTTTTAGTTACTCGAATTTGTATTTTCTTTTACGTATATATATTATAATATTACAAACATTTATATTGATGGTTTATTACTTATTTGCAGTGGAGTCCAACAGAGCCATTTGTATTTGCCTCATGCTCTGTCGATGGGAATATTGCGATCTGGGATATTCGTTTGGGAAAATCACCTGCAGTTTCAATCAAAGCACATAAAGCTGACGTAAATGTTATCACATGGAACAGGTGCTTACATAATTTTATTTTTTTACGCCACAAGTTTTCTTTCTTACTTTGATCTTTAATAAGCATCTCCATTATTGGTTTGCTTGTTTTCTGTTTCTAAGCCTGGCGAGCTGTATGCTAGCATCCGGTAGTGATGACGGGACATTTTCCATCCGAGATCTCAGATTGCTCAAGGTAGTACCAACTATTGATTGGTCAAATATCTTTAAATCTTATTCTTTTATTTCATTTTATTATTATCCTGGATAAGAACTAACTTTTATGTTCTTTATTGACTGATTCTGTTGTTGCTTAGGAAGGAGACTCTGTAGTTGCACATTTTGAGTACCATAAACATCCAATCACATCCATCGAGTGGAGCCCGCACGAGGCCTCCACCTTAGCTGTGTCTTCTTCGGACAATCAACTGACGTGGGAAAAACCCCTTTCTCTCTATACGATGATTTTTTCTCCATTAAACGAGTTCCATTTTCGTCGTAACTTGGATTCTCCTTTTAATTTTTTCTTAACTTTGATTCAGAGTGTGGGACCTTTCCTTGGAGAGGGATGAAGAAGAGGAAGCCGAGTTCAAAGCCAAGACTAAAGAAACAGTCGATGTCCCCACCGATTTGCCACCTCAGCTTCTCTTTGTTCATCAGGTAATATAATCAATATTAAGTCTCTCTCTCCTGAATAGAAAGTTACCAGATTATTTAGAGAAACTACCCATGTGGTTTACTTAAATTGCAAAAGGACCCCTATTATCCACTGAAATGTCCAAGTTACCCCTTTTTTGAGGTTTGTCTTCTGGGCTGGCTCAAAAGTTGCTCTTGCCACCATTTTGAAGATCCATGCACAGCACATATACTAAACAAATAGTTTCTTATTTTTGGCTTTGGGCCGACTGGGCTATTTAGCCTATGGGCCAAATTGGTTTTCTTTGGGCCTGTGAAACGGAATCCCCAAGCCTTTATTTTTTTCAAGCTGTGCAGGGCCCCAGATTTCCAAATCGATTTGGAAGATGGAAGGGAACTCTTCTTCTTCTTCTTCTTCTTTAGGCTAATCCCATGGGCCATGGGTGATTTTGTAATTTGCTGTTAACCTTAATTCATTCTCATGTTACTTATTTGTTATTGTATTGTGCACTTGACAGGGTCAAAAGGACTTGAAAGAACTTCATTGGCATTCACAGATACCTGGGATGATTATATCCACAGCTGCTGATGGCTTTAACATATTAATGCCTTCAAACATTGAATCTGCTCTTCCTGCTAATGCTTGATTCTATTTAATTTTATTTTGTTTTTTTTTTTTGGGTTAATGAATGTGAATCAAATTTTGTCCTTAAATGTTATAGACCTCTTGGTATAAAATATTGAAGTCTTAAAATTCCCAGTTGAAAAGGGTGTTGTGAATTGTGATGTTGATCTAATGTGTAATTTTTCAAATTTGCTTTAACTACATATGTGATGTTCATTGATGATGATAGGCTATTTTAATTTGCAATATATATGCTATCAACTAATAATTATGCTTGCATTTTTTAGTGTCTACAATCATCTAATTCCAAATTAGATGACCCACCTGTCCAACTGCCAAAAATGTGAGGCTGTTTCATATTTTTATTTCAATGCACACAACAGTCCAATCAATATTTGGCTTTATCCCTCATAACTGTTATGCGTGTCAAAGTTCATTTGTATGTGTAGTTG